GATCAGATCTTAATGCTGTAATTATAGGGAACATAGCTGCAACAAGAACAAAACCTCTCTCTTTTTTTTGGTTCATTTTCTCTAAGTTTGGCAAAAGAATTTTGGTTGTTCCTCCACCATCCCAAAGTTACTGGTTTTCAAAGCTCTTCAACAAGTGAAGCACATTTGCTAAGAAAAAGAAAATCAAAATTTCAAAGTGGCTAAGATTTTACAAGATTTGAAGCAGACCATTTTTAATAACCTTTTCATAAAAATTTCAATGAAAATTTATACCAACAATTTCATTTGCCAAAAATCCTAATATTTGGTAAGCATTAAAATGTCATTTTCTGAGAAACCTTATTTTTGATAAATGAAACATGTCTAGAATGACATCAGTAATGTTTCTCCTTAAATTTTCAACCAAAAATGTGTCAGTCTCATGGGAAAAAGTGAACAATTTTGAGAAAATCAACCAGCTTTCATGAAATATTGATTTTTTTAAAAGGGAAATTTATCAAATATATGAACCCCTTTTCATTTAAAAGATTTTGTCTGGCTCTCTTCATTTATTATTGGAAGTTTTGTGACTTGAATGAGAATTATTCATTTTTCTAATAGGCATTAATTTGAAAAGGCAACACAAAATCTTATGCCACTTCTGTAGATAGATAAAACACAGTTATTTCCAGGCATACATTTCATTAGTTCACAGCTTATGTGTATATGAAACAAACAGCAAGGTCCATGGGTAAGAAGTTATATATAGTGTAAAATAATAATTCTAATAGGTTGGTGCTGAAGTTGATTACTGGCTTAGTGCTTGTAGAATAAATGTACTAAGCGAAGGCTGGAGGCTAGGAAAGATACATAGAATATATCAAATTTAATCAGGCAAATGTATCCCTTCAGGCTACTTTTGCCTGACCTAAGCTTTCCACTGGGAAAGTGGAGTTCAAAATAGTATTTCTGCAATGTAATTTCAGGTGCAATGAAGTTATATTATAGAAGAGGCATGGAAGCTATTTCTCATGCTGTGATTTGCATGGCTAGAGAAGTAAAAGCCATGCAAGTTGCCCATCCTGGATCTACAGTGAAAGAAGAACTCAAAGGCTTTCAATTCCAGTTGCCCACAGCTGTACATTATACTCCCCAAATCATCCTTAATTGAGCCATATCTCTGACAGAGATGGGAGGAACCAGTTTGAAAAATTGTATTTTCTCGGTTTCCAGAAAAATTGAGTTTCATCATTTGTTACCAATTTTTGCAGGTCCCTTACACAAGTTTGTGCACCTCCTAAATTAGTGTGTGTGTATGTGTGTGCTTACTTGTTTCTTGTTTTTTAGCTTGTCTGAACTATGATAATTGAGTCAGACTAAGCTGATCTACACTAGCTGAAAATTTGTCCCATAATGTGCCCAGATGTGAACAACAGAATAACTTATGATATGTCACTGCACCCTTCTGATTTATTTTTGCAGCCTCCAGTGTAATACACACCAGGGGTAGACTAGCAAGGAAGGAAACATTCATAACCCAATGCCCCATTTCTCTGAATGTCCCTCAAACATATAATCATAATTCTGACCTTTTTTAAAGTAATAAAACACTTTAGACTTTTTTAGTGCAAAAAATGTCCGTTGATAGAATAGCATTAGCTTGTGGAGGTCAGAGTTAAGGTGATAACTGATGTACAGAAGTATGTACATGTATTAGAGTGGTTATATGTTAAGAATGGCAGGAAGTTGATTGCAGAAATGAAGAATATTTCATGGTGCTACAATACAATAGGTTAGACTATATAACCCTACAAGGCTATTTTATGACTCCATGTTCAGTTTTTCTTACCCCATGTGTTTTATATTAACTAACCTGCCCTTTGCCTTGTGTAACTTACCTCCCTCTCCATGCCAGATCACCTGTGCTGGCCAGGGTTTGGCACTGGAGAAAAGGAAGAGACAAAACCTGAGGTTTCTCCCTCCTGCACAGGAGGAGATTAACAGTTCAATGGCAATACTCTCCCTTCCCCACACAGGCAAGCCCAAGTAGGAAAGAGGAGGAATCACCCTCACATGTATGATTGCTAAGTCCAGACATATTTGTGAAGCAAGGGACATAAAGTGACTTTCTGCATACTCATCTCCCGTTAGCTGGCGATGACCGTGATTTTTAGAGCATGTATTGCCAGGAAAAGCGTATAGGCAACGTTAGCTCTGAGTTCATAAAGATCTTCATGGGGGACTTGGTCTTCAACATGGCTACAGGTTTATAAATGTACCTGAAACCCTGCTGCATGGAATGGAAAGAGTAAATCAACCTACAGACTACTTAACAAAATGTAAAATCACACATCAAGATGCATTTGGGTTCTCTTTTTTCAAGATTTTGTCTCAAGTAATAATGTGCCTTCTTGTATGTCAACTCAGAAAGGTCTGTCACAGCTCCTTAATGTCTGTATTTACATATAATCAAGTCAGTCTATACCACAAACTCCCCTAGCAATCTGTGCTTGGCAAACAGCACACATTAACATTTCACACGGGCTGTGTTACATTTCTTTTTCTTTCTTTTTTCTTTTGCCATTTTGCATCTCAGATGAAGAAGTACCTCAGAAGTTATTGACAAAAGGCAGGGCTAAGCAATCCTAATCGGCAGTTTGGGATAGTGGGGGTTGGGTAGTTTTCAGTTTTCTGCCACAAATGAGTTTCAGGTTTGCAGCTGGTTTTAGGAAAGTTGGCCACATTGTTCTTCCAGCCTCACATTCAGCTCCTTGGCATAAATATTTCATCTGCAAGCAGTCTTGGCTGGCTACACTTATATAATTGAAGGCCATCGCACATGGTTTATTGTGGAGAGGAGGTTTGATTTTGGGAGGGGGGAGTGTGTGGGAGGAAGAGTGGGGAGGCTGGAAACAACTGGATTCAGCTCGCAGAGTGATCCCCAAGAGCTTAACCTTCAGGCCAGAGAGGCAGCCGTATTAGTCTTCCCAAGAGCTTAACCTTCAGGCCAGAGAGGCAGCCGTGTTAGTCTTTAACTTCAAAAATGGTCCTGTGGCACATAGGAGACTCACCAAAATATACACATTCAGAAGCTTTCACGGGAAAAACCCACTTCATCCATGTGCCTTTTAGTGCCTTCCTATGGTATGATGTGCTTTTCCTGAGCAACAACCTTCCATGCTGTCACTGCAAGTCCTGAGCACTTGGTAGGTAGCGCACAGCAACTCACATGATTGCATCCTTAGCAGGGCTTTTGCCATCAAAGATCTGTTTGTTACCCCGAGCATCAGAACATTAGACGTTCCTGAAGACCCCCTTCTAGATTCTACGTTCAGACACAATTTAGTATTCATGGTCCATGGCACCATTTGCACCACGACATTCCAGGGCATTCCATAGATGTATGGTACAGGCAGGCACTTCTGTACCAATTAACAGACTAAATTAGTATTTAATCTACAACACCCTTATTCTATAGACCAGGGTCAAATGTTTTTGCACCACGACATTCCAGGGCATTCCACAGATGTATGGTACAGGCCGGCACTTCTGTACCAATTCAGCCAGACTAAATTAGTATTTAATCTACAAGACCCTTATTCTATAGACCAGGGCCAAATTTTAAATACAATTTTTGCATGGAACTGTTTTTTTGCTGGTTAGCACTTACTAATGCTCCAGTATCAGTCACTGGTGATTTTTCTTTTTAACTTCCTCATGTCTATGATTTGGTTTCTTAGACAGGGTTTTTACAAAAGTGCCCTCTTCACTATGTTCTGATTCAATTTGGGGTGGAGGGAAAGGGAGAAGAGCATGGGGGGGTGGGGGGCAGAAGATAATCAGTTGCCATCAATAACCAGCATGGATGATCAACTATATAAAAGGAAAATCAATTAAGAGCTTTGCTAATAGAGTTTTCTCCATTGCTCTCTCCAAAGCAGTGTAAATAATAAGCCAGGCAAAAAACACGGGACTTCAAAAAGCTGCCTAGAAGATTTGGGAAAGGGTGCTATGTACCATACCCAGTCTGAATTTGCAGAGAATAGAGCGCTGGACAGCAGAGCTGCCATGCTAAACTGCATTCTGCTGAAAATAATCTGGGGGAGCCATTGTGTCTCCGAGTCAGATAAAAACCTCCCATAACCTCCTGTGGGCTGAAAGGATGTGACAAATTTCAATTTCGCCAGACTCAGGAGGATAGAATGAGCAAGGGAGGTAGCCTGCCAATGTCCAACCAGTGGTCTATGCAGCCATTTCATGATGGCGACAGTAATGCCCATGTTACTGCTCTAATGAAGGGGCCTTGGGATTGGCAGAGCGGGGGTGGCTTTTTCTAAACTGAGATGGGCGAGGTGTGAGTTCACTTGCCAGATCTGCCACAGTTCCCCATCTACAAGCAGAAGTAATGACAGGGGTGGTGGGGTGATAAACTCGGTGCTATTTGTGAGGCATCCAATATTGTACCTTGCCTACCTCTGGTCATGGCTCTGAAAGAGGTGGGTTTGGAATGGTGAAGGGTGCTCCCAAGATTTGGAGATTAAGTTCATTGAGATTCAGACGCCCATCTGAACCTCTTTCATCTGAGAATCAGCTTCCGAGTATCAGAAGTGTCCCTTCGGCCCCATCAAAGGAAGCACCCGAAAACAAAGGGAGCAGAGAAAGTTAAGGCAGATGGGGCGCTTTTCTGATATTTTCACCACTTGTCCTGACTGGAACCAGGACGTGTAGAGGCAGACAAGCATTTAACACAAGTACCATTAACAAAATTTGGATTGTAATGCATGTTTGGGGAGAAGAGCTAATTTTGATTTGATGTTGTACCATCTATTTGACCCATCCAGAATATTCCACAAACAACCTGTCACTGGCATGTCAAGAACTTTGAACCTATAAGAATTTGGCTCTACGTAGCCAACCGAGTGCAGGGCCTGGGGTATTATCCACCCCCACACACACCAGGTCCTGCCCCTGCTTCATCTCCTCCCTGCCCCGTTCTACCCCTTCCCACAAGCCCCACTCACCATGTCTTTTGTGGAAATTACCAGAGGCCTGGTGTGGGGTGGCAGCAGGTTTGACCCCTCCTTACCCTCACCCAGCGGCTTGCTCCACTCCAACCCGCTGCCCTCTCCTAGCCTGGTGCACTTGGCTTCTCCATGGCAGCAGGAAGTGAAGTGGCTCGGGGCCAGAGCATTCTGTTTCTTGTTGCCATGGAGAAGCCAAGTGTAGAGGGCCAGGTGAGGTGGAATGGAGTATGGCAGGCTGCCGGGCTGCTCTGACTCCTGCCACCGTGGTGTGTGTGGGGACCCCTGCTGCTGCTCCACTCAGGCGCCCAGGTAAATCGCCTCTGTCCCTTCCATAGGAAGTTGAGGTAGCCACTGTGAGGACCCCTAAGCATGGGGCTTAGTGTGGCCAACCAAAACTATCCTGTGGACGGGACAGTTCTGGGTTCCAAGGAAAGCTTGTATAACTCTTTACTTTTAGCTTAAAGTAAGTTCTTTTGTCATGTCTTTTTTCTTACACATACCAAGGCCATTGTGACCAGACTAGAAGGTCAGAGGATCTTCTCAAAAGTAAGTCCTAGAGTAAGTCTTTTACCAAAAGATCTAATCTTGATTTTAAATGGTCAGTGGTGGAGAATCCACCACAACCAATGGCAAATTGTTCCAAAGATTAATTATTGTCACTGTCAAAAACTCACACCTCTCTGCTAGATAGAATAGTCCATTTTTTAATATTTGTTCCCCATGTAGGTACTGATGGACTGTGATCAAATCACCCCTGAATCTTCTGTTTGTTAAGCTTAATTAATTGAGTAGACCACTGAGCTCAGCCCCCATGCTTCCATGGAGCAGAGGCAGCCGGAGGACTGGGCTGGGGGCTATGCTCTTTTTCCTCACTGGGAGGGGCAGCAGCATGCAGGAAAAGGAGCAGAATGCTGGCAGCTCCTCCTGCTGCCATACTGCTCCCAGCCCCCCATCCCTGCTCTTTTCTCTTGAGAGGAAGCACCGTGGAGGCACTGAGGGCAGTAAGGTGTTTTTCCAGTACACCATGCTGGCTTGCTGGTACAGCATACCACATCGGACCGACTTCCTTGCACAGCTTCAGCCAATTTCTTACCAATAGGTCGTACCTTCCCTCTTTCATCTCTGTCTCTATTCCTATTCAAGATTCCCTTTGGCCACAGCTTTATCCCAGGAGCTCCTGCTCAGTTGATTATCCACCATGACTCCCACATCTTTTTCAGAGTCACTGCTTCCCATGATAGAGTCCCTTCTTCTGTAAGTACAGGCAGTCCCCGGGTTACATGGATCCGACTTACATCGGATCCCTACTTACAAACGGGGTGAGGCAACCCCGCACTAGCTGCTTCCCCCCAGTAGACTAGGGAGACGCAAAGCTAGCGCCCCTCCCCAGCAGACCAGGGAGACGCGGAGCGGCTTTTCTCAGCAGATACCTCAGCTTGAGAATAAAGGACTGAGGGAAGTGAGGTGTGGGAGAATAAAACTGAGCTCTGGAGAAATGTTTGGCTAGAGTTTCCCCTACAATATGTACCAGTTCTGACTTACATACAAATTCAACTTAAGAACAAATCTACAGTCCCTATCTTGTACGTAACCCGGGGACTGCCTGTATAGCATTGGTTCCCAGTCTTATCTTGTATCTGTGCATCCAGTTCACTAACCCAGTTTAGGCCTGGACATTCCCCCCCTGGAATCTTTGCATGGGTTGGGTTTTGGCTTTAACCGTCTCTTAGGTTTTGTGCTGCCGACGCATTTAACAGTTGCCTCAAAACTCCATTTAAATCTCAGCAGAATGTAAGTATGTGCCTGGTAAAATAAGTCAAGCATTTCACAGGCCAGCATACCTACCTTTCCCATGTAATTATTGTATATAATATATTATGTCAAATATGATCTTCCAAGCAGGAGTTGTTGCTACTTCCCTCACTCAGCGAAAATTCTTTTAGCGATCAAGATTCCTTTTTCTGCTCGTCCTCATGTATTGCTCTATGTTAGCAGGAATTCTGAAATGGTTTCTATTTCTAAAGCTGCATTAAAGATCTGACACCTGATTCTCTACTGCTTTGCACTTGGTATAGTCAGTTACACTTTTGCAACGTGACCTGCAGACTGCACGTAAAACCTTCCCATAGTTACTGGGTAGCGCTTTATGGTCACTCAGCACACGAGCAAGGCAGTTGTGAATTAGGCACACAAACTTGATTTTTTCAAGCCTATCTAGCATTTTAAATAGCTCCTGTCACTAGAGTATCCCAAATGCCTCACAGTCCCATGTGGAAGAGAGGGACGCATGCTCATCTCCATTTTACAGAGGGGAACTAAGGCACAAAGAGATTATACGCCCCTGATTCTTCAGTCAAGCACTTGTTTGCCTTTAAGCAAATGCTCATGTCATATTGACAACAATGGCAATTAGGCATCTGCTTAAGTACTTTGGGACACTGACGCCAAAGTAGCTTGCCCAAGATCACACAGGAAGTGTAGGGCATAGCTAGGAACTGGATCTAGCTCACTCAAATCCCAGTTTAGTGCCTAAACTGCAAGACCATCCTTCACAATGCTTCAGGTCCCTTCATTATCCGCCTGCTGGTTTTTTCCTTCTGGTCTGTTGCACAACTTTAAAAAGGACACTTAGAACGTGGTGGGAAGGATAATTTATTTACACGAATAAAAACGGAAATCCAAACCTATGTCTGGTTTACAGGCATGCTAGAAAATACGCTTCAGCAATAAGAGACAGGAGTTAGCAACGCAGGGCCACAGTCTGAAATGCGGTCCACATCCGCAGCGCTCAGTACTTCTAAGGGAGATGCAGACACGCGCACCACCACTTAGGGTCAGATGCAAAGTGAAAGTCTGACTCTGGCTGTGTGCCACACTCGTATTTCCAGCATCTGTGACCTAATTGTGCCATTGATCATTTCCCTGCGGTCAGGAGATGTGAATTAAAACCGGCAGGTTCACATCATGGCATCAAAAAGGGAAAAAACAAAAACAAAAAACCTCAGCCTTGATTGGTGGGAGGAAGCAAAATCCCTTCACATTCTAAAGACATTTCACACTTAACCTTCTTGATATTATAGGTGTTAGGTTGGATAAAAAAAGCTGCATTAAAGCAGCCTGGCAGCTGTTTTCTTGGTGGGGCTTTTTAGCAATGACAGCACTTGACAGAGACGGAAGACCAGACTAACCGGGAGTAAACCCTTCCATCCTTTATTCATTGTAAAGTCTTTACTGAGGCCCTGTCTACACTTACAGGGAGATAGGTGCTGCAGGGATCTTTCTCCCAGGGGGTTGATTTAGCATGTCTAATGAAGACCCACTAAATCAACCACCGATGGCACTCCTGTCGGGGGTTGATTTAGCATGTCTAATGAAGACCCACTAAATCGACCACCGATGGCACTCCTGTTGACTCCGATACTTCAATGGAGTGGGAGTTTCTCCAATTGACTCCCCGCACAGTGGAGACGCCATGACAACTTGCGCTAAGGCATGTAGACTCCAGCTACACTATTCACATGGCTGGAGTTGTGTACTTTAGTTCGACATTGCCCCATAGCATAGACCTGGCCTCACAAGCCCAGTTTATTGGCTTCAAAGGAGTTAAGGGCTAATGCTATGAGTACACTGTTTGCCTAACTGGACCCCTAACTCCGATAGTACCCACTTTCCAGATAGAGAAACTGAAGCATCAACAGGTAAAATGACTCGCTCAACATCACACATAGCAATAGAGCAAAGAACAGAACCTGGAGATCCACAGTGCTAGTCCAGTGCCCTATTCACGGGACCCCATTGGCTCCCTGGAAGAGTGTCCAATGAGATGCCTCAATTCTCCCCATAGAAGCAGGCACCACAAGCTGTGCCAAGAAGTAAAGGATGTGCAGCCCAATATGGGCCATGACAACATAGCCTCATTTCTCCATTGATAAAGTGGGATGATGAGAATTCCTTTCTCCCATACTTTTTTGGGTATATCTGGTTAGAGATTTTAAACTCCTTGACTTTAATACCAAGAGGGAAAATTTCAAATGTGCCAAAGAACTCAGTTTTAAGTCATTTAGGCCCATGGGACTCATATAACTTTTAACAATGAAATTGAGACACTCAACTTGAGGTCTCAATTGCTCCATGTGGGTCTAACTAAGATGAAGATGCAAGAAAGGTCTAAATGTTTATGAATGAAGGCCAAGTGGGAATCAGAGATCCAGAACATGCAAAGTAAGATAGATCCAAGTCCCAGGCACAGAGATGAGGGCCAAACCACGAACCTCAAATCTTTGCACTTGGGGAGACTGGCTGTGACAGCTGCTACTATCCTAGCTTTGAATAGCAGCTACAAAGAGATATAGAGAGATCTCAGAGCCTGTTTGTGTGTTGCAGAGTAGACTCCTGCTCCCAACACCCACAGAATTCCATGCACAATGTCTGATTACTTCTGCCATGTATACAGATATATGAATTTCACCTTATACATGTAATCATCCTGGGCTTGCTTTCCTGCCATCTTAAACTTCCAAGTGTGCTTTGATATGAACCTCTGCTTATTTTCCTCCCTCGTTTTCTAAATTCAAGCACTGTGGAATTTTTAAAAGATACAATCAGAAGTTGAAGTCAAGGTAACGTTTTAAAAGCTTATACAGCTGTACCAATGAGATCACATAGTAAACTAGCAGGAACTGAAGTCATGCAGTGAGGAAATGTCAACCTTAGCCGAGAATTTATTTAAAAGAAACATGATCATAAAGAAGAAAGAAAAGGAAAAGAAAACGTAAAATGTATTTGGCATTTTCATAAATGTTGATGTTTTCAAGCCAATGTCTTGAAAGGCTCAGATGAGATGCTGCCACTCTAAACACATCACTCGTTTCTTCAAAGGGAAAATACATCTTGTCTTTGCTTTCATTCTTCCTCCCCTTTTATGTCAAAAGGTCCTGATATGATTGACAATTAGCCACAATATTAGCACCAGCTGACAGTGTATAATCTGTGTGGATGAACCACTCACTGAAACCAAATTGGATGTAGGACAGAACCTGTGGAGAAAATGATTGGTTCTGCTGAGTTCCATTAAGAAACGGTTTCATGTTTTCCGTTATTTTGTGAAATGGTGTTACAATATA